ATTGAAGTCTTGGGGAAGAGACTCACAGAATGGCACGTGGCCCTGAAACGCTGTGCTGGCCCCAATCGGCCAGCTATGAACTCCAGGCCTGCAGAATTTCATAGCCACAAGGGACCTAGTCTGGCCCAACTACTTCATTTCAGAAAGGAGTCCTGGCAGAACGGTGGCTGCAAAAGAAGGTTCTGTGAGCATACGCTGTGCTGGCGATATGACCTTCATTCAGCAAGTCAAAAACTCTCTGGGCCTGTTTCCTTGGGAGTAAAATGAGGGAGTTAGAGGTGACTTTTAGGCTCCTGGAGCTCTGATCCTAGGACAAGTTTTTGGACAATTCTTGTGATCTACCACAGGCAGCTTCTAAGGTGCAGAAATGTCTATTTCATAGACACACAAGGAAAGAGGACAGCATTTGAAATTAAAGGATGTGAGTTGAAATCTCAGCTCTGTCACTTACTAGCTGTGACCTCTGTCAAGGCCCTCCCCTCTCTGGACCTATTTCTTTACCTATGAAATAAGAGGACTGGACCTGATGATGTAACAATGAGTAAAAGCTGAGGGGCAGGGTCTGTTTTATTTTTCTTATAGAAAGGAAAGTAGTTGTCTAAGTGGAAAAGCATCTAGTCCAGGACAATTACGCTTCCTACACCAAGAAACTCCCTTAAACTAGATTTCTGCTTATCTTCCACTCTCCCCCCTCCTTCTCTCTCTCTCCTCTCTTTCCCTTCTCTCCTCCTCTCCCTCTTCTCCCTCCTTCTCTCTCCTCTCTCCCTCCTTCTCTCTCCTCTCTCCCTCCCTCCTTCTCTCTCCTCTCTCCTCCCCTCCTTCTCCCTCCTCTCTTTCTCTCTCTCCCCTCCCCTTCACACATGGTCCTCTCTTATAATACAGAACATGGGGGTTGGGAAAGCTCAGTGACATTGAGCAAGGCACTAGGCCCGACAGTGGTGCAGGACCCCACACCCCCATCTGTCACAGGCGGGCTCAGGGAATCTCGAACCCCTCTCCCGCTCTCTATCCGACTGTAATCCTGCCCTCTGTTCCCTGCAGCCCGACCTTCTCCCTCTGTCCCCGTCTCTGCTAATGGCGTCACCAGCGTCCCAAGAGCAGATCATAACTGTCTTCTTCAGCTGCCCTCTCTGTGTCTGGCCATTACCAGATTCTGGTACTGGCCCATGCCCCTACTGTCTACCACCTGGCTTCTGTGTCTGTTCTAATGGTGTCTCCCTAGACTCTGCATCTCCCCCAGAACTCAGCTCAGGGCCTCGAGGGCAGACAACCTGAATGGACTCTTCTGACCCTCGAGCTGACTGCAGAGTTCACCACAGCAGGGGCTTCTGAGGCAGAGTGGGCACTAGTCCTGAAGCCGGATACTGGCCAAGGGAGGGTCTGATTCAAACATACCGACATGAAAACCTGAGAGCGATTCCAGGATTCAGTTAAATATGACACTGACAGAAGGCAGGAGTCAGCGACCTTTCAGCTTGAGCATGATCAACCTTCATGTGTGCCCTCGGACCTACGTACACCAGCACATTTCAGTGTCTGTGATGTCCTCACGTGACCTGAGCACTGGTGCAAGGTAAGGAACAAAGTTCCTGCGGTCACACAAAGTCAGTCAGGGAAAAGAAAACGCCCGTCCTACAACTTAGTTTGCCTGATTCTCGCAATGCCATTCCTGTGCCTTGACAAATTTCCCAGAGGGCGAAGTGTCTTTTTCCCCCAGCGACTGCTGTGCTGTCAACTAGGAGACCAGGCTTCCCCTCCAGGCTGTTTGTAAAGGCGTGAGAGTAAGCCCTTCCTTATCACCCTAAGCAACAATGGACCAACAACCTGGACATTAGAGATAAATACAGAGGAATGTGCCCTGGGTAAACAATGTTCTCAGCAGGGCCTGGGATGAAGGGAAGAGAACCTGTAAAAACCCTTCCAATTTGGGGAGCCCCTCTGGTGCAGTGGGGCAGCGAGGATAAACGGGAGGGGGCGATGCCAGGGAAGTGAAGGGCATCACCTTCTTCTACATTCCACGTGGCCACGCTCTGTGTCACTGGTCTCTCCCTGAGCTCCCATGAGCTAGAGCTGAAAGGAGCCTGGCCGAGCATCTAGTCTTCATTTTACAGATGAGGAAATGGGGGCCTAAACAAGAGCTTCCCCGTGGTCAGTGGGACTTGGATTTGGACACAGGTCCTGGCTCCTGAGCCAGGATTCTTTCCTGGAAAGCATGCACCCCCAACTCCAGCCCCCAGCCCCCTCGTGGGTTTGAGGACTGGTTTTCTCAAAGCGGCTGAAACCTTTGTAGTGTGCAAGGCCAGACTGAGGGACAAGAAGGCCGCAGGCCTCCAGCTCAGGAGTCAGTGCGGCCACTCTGGAGGAGCTCTGCTGTGTTCCCACCAAGCCTGAGGGGCAAGATTCAGAATAGGGCTCATCCTCCCTGGGGGATTTCCCCGAGGATGCACCCTGCAGCCCATCACTCCAGACCAAGAGAGCCCCAGGGCAGCACGTCCATCTCCACATCAATGGAGGTGAGTGGAAAGGGTGATGATGCAGTCTGTTCGAGGCAACACATAGCTTACTTTTTCTAGGGCCCCGCCGGATGTCTGAAAACAAAAAGTCATGCCACAAAACCTTTGAGAGCACTTTTATTTAGGGTAGCAGAATGGAATTGCAGAACCTTAGAAAGTCTAGACCACAACGAGGTGGTGGTGGTGGTGGTGGTGGGGTAGAGTATGCTGTAGTTTGGGAAAGGGAAGGGATGCTGAGAATTCAGCACATTGTCAGGGAACAGTTAAGGAGCAGGAGTGAAGTCCTGAGTGATTCAAGGACAGCCAGCACCTCCTCATCCACCATCATACACAACGATTTGGTTCTCACTATGGCAGAAGCTTCTCCCCCTCCCCCCACCCCCTTTCACAACTCCCCCTCATTAGCTCTTTACAGAAAAGCCACAGCTTCGAGGCAAACAACCAAACCCACTGCTCTACATCTGTTGCCCACCTGGTGGCCCAGAACAGCATCAAGTGAGCTCACATCCACACACTTTCCCAGTGCCGGGCCGCGGAGGTTCCCTCTCAATGGCATTAACCTGAGAGGCTGACAATCAGAAAGGTCTACATACTACGAGAGAGAAGCAAGTGTTATCGAAAGAGGAAAGGACCAGACAGTTTCAAAGAACGGCAAACATTTCCCGTTCAGAGGCAATAACAGGACAGACAGTGGCTTGGTCTAGGTAGGAGTCTGATGTAGGAGCTAAACACACTTTTGTTTGACAGAATCTGGCATTTTATTACAAATCCAAAGAAGTTGGGAAACAAAGTCCGTACCAATTTTCAGCAAATGAAGAGACAGTGGTGGTTGTGTTGATGATGGGCGCCCCTCCGCCCCCTGAAAACACGGGCATCCCCCAAATGCAGTCGTGTACCCCATTTCCTGGAGAGGGCTGAAGAAGTTGGGGATATTTACAGGCCAGCAACGTGGTCACTGACAAATGAAAACTTCACAAACCTCCCACTTTTGCACAGACAAAAAGCAGAATACCCTACATGTCTCAACGCCCTGGGGGGAAAAAAATGTTAAGCTCTTGAACCATCCTTTCCTCCATGGCCTAGTCCTCCTCAGCAACTAGATGAGGCTATAGATTTGAGAGCATTTGGGACAAGATCTAAAAAACTGACAAAGTCGTCAATCTCACGTCACCAGAATTACCACAGCAAATATCTGGGTATCAACAATGGATATTTTCTAGGATCTCATTCATTTATTTATGGGGGGGGGAGCTATTTATTTTTAAGAGACAGCAACATTTTAATCCTTTTAATTCCATATGACTGCAAATCTATAATCACTTTTTATTTCTACCAAAAAAAGCCATCAAAATGCTTATAATATTAAAAAACAAAACAAAACCCAAACAACCATCCTTAAAGGACAGCAAAAGATTTTCCCAAGTGAAGGCAGGCTTCTTTCCTGGGGCTGCCTCATCCAGAGGGAGGGGGCAATGCCTTGTTCAATCAAAGTGGTCAATGGAAAGAAAAGCTGCCCTCCCCAGAGAGGCTCTTCTCAATGACTCTAAAAAGGGACAGGGGATGGGGAGGAATGATGACCTTGACCCAGACCAGTGACACCTTTAGGTGTTACGAGCAGAATCCCAAACTCAAATTTCTTTCTCTAAGATAATCAAAGAATTCAATATTGGAGATAAGGGGGAACTTTGCCAAAAATTTTGAGTCCATTCTGATGCAAAGTTCTACACTCAGATGGAAAACAATGTCAACAGAATTAGCTTTCCCCTGTCACATGGACATCTCCACGTTGAGTGGTGTTAGTATGCATTTTAATAGGAGAAGAGGTGGTGTAGAACCCTGTCCAGCCCATTCCAAAAGCTGCTTCCAACTGGCCCAGTCAGGAGGCCCAGGTGTCTTCTAGCTTGTTAGCCCAAAGACTCCCAGTACAAAAACACACAGGCCGGTGCTGACAGCTCTGGAGCCAGGCTGTAATTCAATCACACACACAAGCAGACGATCGAGGGTTTGCCCATTTAATCGACATCGTTTTGATAACATCAGCCAGATTTACACAACAGCCAGACTCCTTCCTCATCACAGACTTTACCCTGGGGTTTGGCCTCATTTGGGTTTCTGAGATGTTACAAACTCACAACCCGTGCTCACAAAGCACAGAGTCACAGGGAGGGAAGGGCAACAGGACTGCTGGGTTTTAGGCCACTTTTTTTTTCAGGGCTTGGGGGTGGGAGGGAAGGGAAGAGGTTGAATGGGGGGGGGTTCCAAGGCATTGTTCTGGGGACAAGGAGTGCGATTAAAATGAACTCAATAAAATAAGACCTACAAAGGGGAAGGGAGGGATCAGGAGTGTGCACCACTCACTAACTTTCTGTTTTAAACCTGAAGAGAAACGAAGATTTGGAATAGATTTGGGCAAGAAAAGAACACACCATCCTTTAAGGTAGATTGAAGCAGTGATTTTTAAAACAAAGAAATCAGAACTAGAACATCTTAAATTTTTAATCCTTTCTTTACAGGTTTACCTAGACCACTTTTGATTAAGAAAACTGTAGAAAGTTAGTAATTGCCACAAGTTAACACCAGGAGGTGGCCCCTGTCAATTTCCCAAAGAGTCCTGGTTGCGGGGTGTTGGAAATGCACTGCTCCGGGTCTCCGCTCGCCCTGGTTGGAATCAATCATGGAAGATTTAGTCCACAGGTCGCTTTTCCCCATATTTCTTTGTAAACTCTTCAGCGTTCTTACAGAATTTTTTACGGTCCTTAGAGTACTCTTCAGCTAGGTCAGCCCGAAGGGGGTGCTCAGGCTGGGGGTCATTCACCAGTGCTATGAGGGACTGGATGACTGCCAAGAGAAGGACAAGGGCGGTCAGTGGTTAGAGCACTCACTTTCGCATCGCTAACCTGGCAGAGCCTCTACTGAGAGAGAGCTCAGGGCTCTAGGAGCTGTCCTCAGGGTACAGACCAGCACACAAAACCATCAACTACAGTAGTGGAAAATGAACACTCCCACCCACGCCTTAGGAGTCAGGGAGAAGTGAGAGGCCAAGCTCTTCAGTTTAATCAGGATCCAAACCTCTAAAGAGAATCACAGAACCCCAGACCACTGGCATGAGAACAGACCTCAGGGTTAAGTATGATCTCCACATATCACAGGATCGAGGACTGAGAGCTGGAAGGAGCCTTGGAGCTCACTGATTTCCAACCAACACCCTCGTTTTATGGGTGAAGAAACTGAGGCCAGAGAGAGTGAATGACTTGCCCATGGTCTTACAGGTGGTAAACAGCAGGGTCAAGATCTGAATGCAGGGCCCACGACTAGGTTCAGCACTCTTTTGACCTACCCATGATCCAAGCTCATTTTTACAAAGAAAGGCCATGAAGTCATTCAACCAACGGTCAAGCAGGGGCCTGGAGAGCCAGCCTTCGGGTTCCAGGCCAACACCTGACTGCTCGGCCCCCCAGGTGCTGCCCATCACAATGTGTGCTTGGGGCACTCGTGACAACGTGCTCTGCTGCATTTCTGAGGATGGTGTATCTTACTCTCCTCAGAAGGGGAACAATGATGCCCAACTCCGGCAGGGACCTCATTTCCCAAGAAGGTGAAGTAGGAAAGGGGTCCATGGGTGCATCGTGGGATATCAGCTGATGGAGCAGGCAGAATAAGAGAGGCAACAGCCATCGTGCACCTAATTTGGAGAGGAGCCCACACTGGGTGCATGGGAACCCAGGAATGAGAATGATGTGGCTCTCACCAGAGGAGTGACTCGCACCCCAATAACTACGGTTAGAATGAAATGAAGGAGCCAGGAGGGTAAAACACTTGAGGCCTGAGAGGTCGGAGAAAGCATCTCTGCCTGGGACCCTGAAGGAAGAGAAGGATTTAGAGAGACAGAGCTGTAAGGGAATCCCCTTTACTGAAGCAGTCTGGCTGAATCACGGAAGGCTTTGAATGGAAAGGCCTAAAGGAGGGTGGTGGCACCAGAAGGGCAAGGACAGGGGAGAGATGAGCAGAAAGCAGAATCAAGAGGACTTGGCATGGGGGTGATGGGGAAGAAGGGGGTGCCCTCAACAGGCAGGGCATTTGAAGATGATGATGAATTCCACCATGGATGTGTTGGACTTAAGACATCAGAAAGAGCCCAGCAGAGAGCTTCGAGAGCTATCCAATGGAGACTATAGCTGGAGCAAGACAGGAGTCGTGTGCACAGGGAGTGGGGGTAGAGGTGGGGGGTGAGAGACGCTGCCAAAGGTGGACCCACATTCAGGAGTCAAAGGAGAGAGAATTGGGAGGAAGCAGTGTCCTGGAAGCCAAGGGAAGGAAAAAGAAAAGGCTTTGGCGATAAAGATGTCACTTGAGAAAACAAGCTTCATTGCTGAGAGAGGACGATGGAGGCTGGATTGCACAGGGCTGAGCCAGACAAGATATGGGCAGGAAGGAGACATTCTAAGTCTCAACTACTTCTGGAGTGGGAGCTGGAAAGATATGAGTTCAAATCTGCCTCTGTCACACTAACGGCATGCCCCTGTGCAAGATAGAGAACCTCCCTCAGCCCTGGTGTCATCATCTGTAAAAACCTAGCCACTATCATTTGTTCTAAGAAACTCGGCAGTGAAAGGGTAGCAGGGCAGGATCAAGAAAAGGCTTCTTCAGGAAGGCCTTCAACTAAGACCCTGAGTATCAATGCGGACCCAATGAGAATGAGGAGGACCAAGGCCCTCTAACTACAGACCGTTCTTGCTTTATGTAACAGTGCCTTCCACGGACCTTAGTAAAGTGATTTTTCTGTAATACTAATTTGCCTCCAGACATGAGGGCAGGAGGGAAGCAGGAAGGCCCGCCCATAGAGGGGCCAGCACATGGACTAAGGACATGTGGAGGCCGGGGACAGAAAAGTGAGAGCAGGAAAAGGAACAATCCAGGACCAGGGCCAGCCACGGTGGGGGTCTGACTGGAACTGAGAGGAAGAACACGCAGGGGACAGACACAGGAGGTGAGAGGACGGGGGATGCGTGGGGGCCGGGGACAGACACAGAACCACAGGTGGGTGGAACAGCCCAGAGGTCTCAAACTAAGCCTCCATCTTTTCCTTTCAACTGGAGGTTTTTGGCACAGTGAAAGTACAGTAAAGTTAACACAGGGGGTTTTTTGGAATGTGGATTTCTTTCAGAATTCTTTATGTAAAGCTACATTTGCATAATGTGAATTTATGTAAAGTGAGAACTGTCCTAAAGTAGTGGGGCTCTCCCCCCTAGGGCAGTGGTGCTGGGCTCCGCACCAAGGACAGCTCACAGGCATGTGGTCTGGATTCTTTCAGTAAATGCCAGGAAAGGTTATCTGATGAAAGGCAGGCAGCGGCAGACCGGGAGCAGACACCAATAAACCGGAATTAAAGGACGTGAAAGCACGGGTGAAGAGAGAGCACCCATTAGCAGTGAACCATGGAGTACGGGCAAAGCCCTGGGACTTCCTCTCCCAGATCTGACGCTCGGGAGGAAGGGAAGGCGATAGCGGGGTCACCCCAAGAGCCAGCACTCACACAGCAGCATCAGCAGGAGACCAACGGGCAAAGTGAGCGTCCAGGGAAAAGGCAAGAGAGCCACTGAGCCCTAAGAGGAGGCTGGCCCTGGAGGAGAGCTCAGGCTGAAAGAGCTGGAAGGCCCCAAGATAGAACAGAACACAAAGTAGTGGCAAGGTTCAGGAAACCCAGTGCGGGCAAAGGACGAGGAAGCCAGGAGCAGGGGCAGCAGTGCCCTCCCAGCTCGGGTGGGGCATGCCTGTTCCCAAGGGAAGGAGGGACTCAGGAGGAGGCCAAGACTCTGCCACCCAGTGACATCTTCCCCAGAAGCAGTGCAGAAACAACAAGGGAGTCAGGAGTCATGGGACTGAAACCCGCCTCTGCCACTTACTGGTTAGCTGTGCAACCACTCAGATCCCGTTCAACCTCTCTGGACTTCAGTTTACCCAGAATCTCAGCATTGGCAAAACGCCTAAGTCAAGCCCCACTAGAACAAGCCTCGGCCAGTGGCTGTTCAGGCCCAAGTGAGGGGGGCACCCACTGCTTTCCCCACGTTAAGCCTCCAAGAAGCTCCTTCCCCCTGCTCCTAGCTCTGCCCATCTCTCTAAAAGCCCAGGGTTTGGTAAAGGAAGTGTTTTGTAAACTGGAAAGCACTTATGGACTGTGTGCCTGGGACCCTAGGGCAGGCTCTCTGCCAGGATGACCCTTAGTGCAGTCCCAAGTTGGGTTTTTTCCATGGGAAATATCTTTGTCTATAGCAAGGTCTTCAGGCCCCCGTCCTGTGCACTCTCTCCTGTTCTCCAGGTCTGCCTCTTCAGCTGAGGGCCGAGGCTAGGGAGGGGGCCTCCCTTCTGCTGAAGCCTTCTGCCCTGGCTCCCAAGATGATGCTAACGACGGGTAGATGATGGGAGCCTGAGACATGGAAGAAAAGGCCCAACTCCTACACAAAGCCAGTGTCACCCACAGAAGATAACCCTGCAGGCATTCCGCAGCCTGTCCCTGGGGACCAGTGAGCTACACTAACACCCAGAGTCCTGTTTGTAGCTCAGGGAGCAAACACTCGCAGGTTCTATCTTTGTCCTATGGGGTTTTCCCTTGGGGGTCTTGAGAGGTCCTGCCATTGTCTGGAGGGCACAATGGGCTACCTAAGGCTGAGCCGTGAAGCAGCAGTGGCTTGGGCAGGTGTGCCTGAACTCAAGAGGCTAGCCACTGGGTGACAGCTGCTGCTAGGCCCTGGCCAAAAAGGCCAGGAAATTTCCCCCCCAATTCACAGCCATTCAAAAAGATGTGGAGGGCGTGGCATCAATGTCAGAAGAAAGGGAAGGAGGGCTGAGAGATCACAGATCCTTGGAACAGTGCCACTTTGGAGGAAGTAAGCACGTACAGGGAAAAGTGGGAACAGTCTGGCAGAAAGCTGGCCTCACCAAGGAGGAATCAAGGTGGCTGTCCTCTTTTCTCACTCAGAAGCCCTCTTGACCCCCAGGGGGCCCCCTTCCTCTCCTCTTACCTAAGCTGAGAGGGGAGCCTCCTCCAGAGAGCTCCTGGGAGCATCGCCTGGTAAAAGCTGAAGGGCTTGGGGAGGCCACCTACTTCAATCTTCTCAATTTGGAAAATCACCTTAAGAGAGGTGTGCTGCTCTGCCCGAGGTCCTGTGACTGGTAAAATGTCAAAGTCAGACAGTCTTAGTCAACCTTGTGGGCACCTCTTCCACCAACACAGGCAGCAGCAGCCGCTCCCCCCCCCCCCACCGAATCTTTCTGTTGTCTATCTTAACTGCTGCCACTACGGCCAACCTTGAAGTGAGCAGCCTCATCTGGGCCATCATCTCACCCTTCTGGGCTTGGAAGGAGCTGCCAGAACCCACCCAGGCCTGCCACTGAAAGGTCAAGGCCAGCCCACAGCGACTGTTTGGTGAAGGTCACCTTCTAAGAGCCTGGAGGTTCCTGGGAATGTTCCAACAGAGTCGTCAAGAAGGATTCTCTCTCCAGAGGATTTGGCTTTCACTGAAGCCTCTGATCTATGCGGTCACCATCAAAGCCAAGGAGGACCAGGAATGGGAAAAGTGCTTGGCTCTGGGCCACTGGAGCACTCTCGGTGACGCTGGGGAGCACGGGAAAAAGAAGCAAGGAGTTCCCTAGGGGAGGGAGGGAGGACCGGCAGGGACGTACTCCCGAAAACCTGCCATCTGCTGCCACCCCTCTCTCTGACTGCCTCTGCAATCTGCACTCTGAGCTCTCTCCTCCGGCTTCCAGTCTTCTCACTTGCACTCAGCATCGACAGCTCCCAGGCTGCTCTCCCTACCTCTGCTCTCTTCCACCGAGCCTCC